GAGGGGGCGGGCGGGGGTGGCGCCGGGGCGGACGCTGAAACGCAGGGGGTGGTTGAGAGGGGGCGCCGGCGCGGAAGGGGGCCGAGGGGCCAACCCGTGACCCCTCGGCACGCCCCCTCGTGCGGCCACGAATCACAAACCGGCAGCAGAATCGGCGGACGCATATAAGCAGCAGAGCGGCGGACGAATCCAAAGCGGACCGGCCGCCCGGGCGAGGCGGCGCGGCTCGGGCTGCGCCACGCACGCGGGGTCAGGCCGCCTCCGACCCCCTGGTCTGGACACTGGCCGGGAACGTGACCGGTGGGACGGGTGAGGACGAAAAGCATGACCTATCAATCGGCGCGGGGGGTCGTCCCCCACCACCACCCCCGCGGCCTGCACGTGAGGAGCACCTTCGCACTCCAAAGGAAGACAGACTTTTTGCACCAAGAAAGCGGGGTTGGAGTCGGCGGCCGCGGAGCGGCGCAGCGGCCCGCAAAGCCAAAGCAAAGCGACCGTCCCCGCGCGACGCGGCCGCCGCGCATGCGGGGTCACGCCCACTCCATGCCCTCCCCCCCCCCCCCCTCGGTCTCTATCCCCTTATCAACGACCGATGGAGTGGAGGGGACGAGATTCGCCTCATCGATCACCTTCACTTCCCTCTCTCACACATGCGCGGAGCGCTTTTGCACGCGCAAGGAAAAACCCATATGACTCAAACAAAACCCCCACTCAAGAGAGGTTGCCCCACTCAATAAAAGAACCCGGCGTCTCCCCGCCCCCAAGGGACGCCACAGACCAGGCCTGCGACGCATGAAATACAACCCCCCAAGAATACGTACAATTGTAACCACCCCCGACGCCCCCCTCCAAATATAAACGGCCATGGAAGGTGCCTCCACACACATTCATTCTACGCCCCAGTGCCCCCCTCCCCGGAACCCCCCCACCACAAAAACAGCAAAAAAAGGATGAAAGAGGGCCCCACACCGCCCACCAGGTTGCGCAGCTTCATGGCGCCCGCGTTGCCCTTGCCGCCCAGCGTGGCCAGCGCGCCAAAGTTCTTGGTGAGAATCATCTTGTACCTGGGGGACGGGAGGATGACGCACAGGTGAGGAATCTTGTAAAAAATTGCAGTTGGTGATCGTCACGATTTCGGTTTGGGCGCAGGAAGGTGGCTAGGGGCAATAGCGCCCGCCCGTTTGAATTCTGAGCATGGAAGGACCTGGGGCTTGCTGTCCGGGGGCCTGGGGCGCGCGAGAGTCGCGATCTGGTTGCCTGCGAGCTCCCTGCGAGCGCCCGAGGCGTCCACACACCCACCCGTTCACCCTCCAAAGCAGCGGACCCGCCCTTCGACCGCCCAAACCCACATGCCGACACAATCCAATGTGGCCATTCGCAGGCTACCCACCACTCTCGCTGCTTGGCGCTGAGCTCCACCCTCGCGATCTGCTACACACACACACACACCCTTAATAGCCAAACTTCCACGACACCGAAAAAAAAAAACGGCCACCTCGAGCGTCCGAGGCACCCCCCCCCTCCGACCCGCCAACCCTCCCGGCAAGCCCAGCCAAGCCCAGCCGACCGAGCCCACACCCACACACCCAGGATACACGATTGGATACAACCGCCGGGTGGAACCAACCGGCCACCTACCACTCGCGCTGCTTGGCGCTGAGCTCCACCCGCACGATCTGCTCCATCTTTGGGGGCAGCTGCTTCAGCACGTCCTTCTTCACGCGCCGCAGGAGGTGGGGCTTCAGGCGAGAGTGCAGCTCGGACACCTGGAGGGAGGTTAGGTTTTTTTTGGGGGGGGGGGGGGTGGTCGCGGTTGGGTGCTATCCCGCCCACGCCTCAAACAGTCCCCTCGTGGCGCCCTGGCAGCTGGGGGAAACTTCCAGATGATAGTTTTACGTGTGAAAAAGGTACGAGGAAGCACGTCAAGCATTTCATACATCCAATTTATATACATTATAATGTATATATATACATGTATAGATTTGAAAACGAGTGTCACCTGCTCCTGGTGGTTGAGGTCGTGGAACTCCTGCGCCACCATCTCGGGGTCTGCAAACTTCTCGGGGTCCAAAAAGTGCATCAGCATGAACAGCTCCTGGGAGGTTTTATTGTCCGGGTTTAGGGAGGGGCGGTGCACGGC